GACATATGGGCTAGTATCAGACTTATGGACTTGATCTGGACTGGGCTGGGATGTTTTCTTAATGTACAATTACTCTTTGATATAAAGTTCTCTCTTACACATATATGAATCTCCCAAGATTGGTTTCTCTAGTCTACCCAAACACAGGCTTCAACAGAGCATTCAAGCTACAACTCTCCAATGAACCGCGCACAGCTGGTTTTCACCCATCCCAGTAACTGCAAAATGCTGGGCTCCCTCCATCGTCACCCCAGCCACGTACAAGGAAGGGGCTCTGTAGAGGATCAAACAGGGACTCAAATCACGTCCGCCCTGGCTGCTGTTTGCATGGCCTGGCCTTAAGCATAGCAATTAACTTCAGCTTTGGTTTCCTTAACTCGAAGTGTGAAGGTCAGAGAACGCACATGAAAGGCCAGGACCCTCGTAATCCCCCCAAATCGTGCTTCCTCTCCGACCTGATGGCTGGCCCAGAGCTCAAGAATCTCCCAGCAAGAACTGATGCAGAGAAGCAAAGGTAATTTCCAAACCCCAGCCCCATCCTTCCCCACAGCCTCTGCCACCACTCACAGTCTTGTCCCTCTTGGCCCTTATAGGTGCCCTATCCAAAGGCATCCTCAGATCTGTAGCACCCAGCAGAAAGCAAAAGCTCTCCAAATGCAGCTTGAGCAAACAGGTAGGCAAGGGGCCAGAGCCTGCTCAAGTGTATCCAGCACTGCAGGAGTTTGCATAGTTAATCACTTGGAAATAATATCTTTAGGCTACCAGTCTTGGCGAGGTCTAAATCCTTACAAGGTCTAGAAACAGCGACGGGGGCTGAATCCATACAGAAGGAAACGGCATGAGCCTGCCCAGGGAAAGGAGACCGGGCATGCTTTCTGAGATGCCAGCTGTCACCCTCTGTGGAGCTGTCGGCTCCTTCATCCCTATTCCATCGAGGAAGAAAGGAGGAGGGGGACATTTCCCAAGGACAGACCACTAGTTAGTGTAAGAACTGGGGCCTGACTCCAAAGCGAGTGAATTCCAAAGCCAATTGTCTTTCCACTGCCAAGCTTAACAGCCAGACAGAGGGAAACAGGAAAGAAAACTCCGAGAGGAGGCAAAGCATTGGGGAGCGGAGAAGGGGGCAGGCTGGGGGTAGCCTTACCGCCCCCACCCCTGGGACAGGTGCAGGTCGGCGGGGGAGGGGTTCGGAACGGAAAAGCAGCCCTGCAATCAGATGTTTGCAACAGCTCTGCTGGGAACATTCTGGGAAAGGCAGAACACATTAGTGGCACTCATCCTGGGCTGCCCATTATTGGACTAAATCATGCCACACAGGGAAACTTGTTCTGGTGCAAATGCCAAGAGCCAACGGGACATCACAGCCCGCTGACCACTAGCGCCATCCAGGGTCTGATTAGTCAAGAGCACTCGAGCTGTCCGTCAAAGGCACTAAATTAGCCATTCCGAATTTCACATTCTCTGGCAGGGGACTCCATGCTGGGTCATGATGCGTGCGGCAGCATTTTGAGTCATAATTAATTACAAGGGAACACAAAATCAGACAGCGGAGGACATCACAGCGAATCAGGCCCACTCTGCCTTTTATCACTCCTACTTTCCATCAGAGTCAACAAGGAGGCCAGGAGTAGGTGGGCGAGCTGTGTAGGGGCATTCAGGCACTCTGTGAACCTTCAGCCCACCCCTGACCTCAGGCCCAGCCCACCTTTTACAGCCAACCCACGCCAGAAAGACCCCCACCAACCCACCAGAAAGACCCCCCCAACCCAGCATTGCCCCTCACCGCCATGTGACCGCCACGCTGTTGCCAACCAGCCACTTCATAGAGCACACACAGCTAGTTGTCTGTTTCCAAATTGAGGAATTATGTGTTCAGTGGGTGGGGGCTGCTTCACTAGAATTCCCTACCCCTGGGGTTTTTGTATTTTTTTACAACCTCACTGATGAGCCCAGGGACCAAAGGAAGAAGCAGCACACCCTTTATGTATCACCTGGCAATACACAGTACTGGCAGCAAACACGTTGAGCAGGTCCTAACGAATCCAAAGTCAGGTCTGCCCACCTCTGCAGAGAGCAAGAAATGCACTTTATCCCTAAAGGCTCGCACCTGTCGGCAAAGAGAAGGGAATGAACAGCAGAGGGGGGAAAGAGGGTGCTGAACGTTGCTTCAGAAAGCCAAGCAGTGATGTATGAAAGGTCTCCCTCCAGCTGCCATGACCTTCTGGGGCTCGGTGGGCCTTGACCACCAGCCCAGGACCAACAGGAGCAGACGTTAGGCCCTCTTTTGAAGTCGAGCGTGACTCCCCATCCACTCCAGGAAATTGCATCGCGGCGCGGCTGAGCCATCCCTATGCAGAGCGCTGGCCTCCAGCCAAGCAGCACCGGCTGACCTACCTCATTGATGAACGCATGAGCCCCCTGGGGACTGAGCAGCAGGATGGCGCGACGCAGCGTGTCCCGGTAACGGTTCAGCTCCTCAGTCTTCATAGTGGTGAAGAGGCTGGTGAACACGTGACTGATGTTCTTTTCCACCTTCTGTAGAGAGACGTCAAGGCCCAGCCGTGAGGCCTGGTCCAGGAAGCTTTGGAGCCCACGGATATCTGAGCAGGGAAAGAGGAGAAAGAAAAGATAGTCATGTATCCTGGGGAGGGTCTCTCATCGACTCATAAGGCCCACAGCCTGGCAAGTCCCCCCAGGAGAGGGAGGACAACCAGAGCCGGGGCAGGAGCTGGGGCACCAGGACGGGTTCAGAGTTCAAGTTTGCCTCCATGATTCACTGATCACAGAGTCCCTGTACCCCTCAACAGCAACCAACCCATGGGTGTCTCCCATGATGGGGAGCCCATTCTGCTGTCCCCTAGTCCTATGGCCAGAATGTGCTCCTCTTTCTGAGCTGTTTTCTTCTCTGCCTCTCCATCCAATATGCCCATTCTTTTTTTTTTTTTAATCATTTTATTGGGGACTCGTACAACTCATAATACTCCATCCATCCATCCATTGTGTCAAGCACATTGGTACATATGTTGCCATCATCATTCTCAAAACATCTGCTTTCTACTTGAGCCCTTGGTATCAGTTCCTCATTTTCCCCCTCCCTCCTCGCTCCCCCCTCCCCCATGAACCCTTGATAATTTAGAAATTAATATTATTTTGTCATATCTTACACCATCCGATGTCTTCCTTCACCCACTTCTCTGCTGTCCATCCCCTAGGGAGGAGGTTATATGTAGATCCTTGTAATGTGTTCCCCCTTTCGCCCTTACCTTCCCTCCACCTCCTGGTATCAACGCTCTCACCACTGGTCCTAAGGGGTTCATCTGTCCTGGATTCGCTCTGTTTCCAGTTCCTATCTGTACCAGTGTACATCCTCTGATCTAACCAGATTTGTAAGGTAGAACTGGGATCATGATATTGGGGGGAAAGAAGCATTCAAGAAATAGAGAAAAATTGTATATTTCATCATTGCTACACTGCACCCTGACTGGCTCATCTCCTCTCCACAGCCCTTCTGCAAGGGGATGTCCAATTTCCCACAGATGGGCCCTAGGTCCCCACTCCACACTCTCCCTCATTCACAATGATTTATATATATATTGGTCTTTGATGCCCATTCTTTACAATCGATCCTCAGGGTCAGCTGAGCTGGTGGGCCCTGACTTGGGCCCCATTCCCTGCAACTTCCTCCGTTTCCCTCTCAATGGTAAGTTGAGGCTGCATTCTGCCTTAGTCTAACCTGGCCCAGGCCCAGGGCACAGAGCAGCTGTATCCTTTGATGATGCTCATTCCCTGTGCCCTTGCGCCCCATTCCTGAGGCCCGGGATCATGTCTTATCCTGAGGCCCGGGATCATGTCTTATCCGGAGATGTAGGTTCCCACCACAGACATGGCACCCTGGTCTTCCTGGATAAAACATTCCTCCCCTGGTCACTGTGTGGGTGTCTCTCACTCCAGGACATGTGGCCCAGGCTTAGCCAACCAGAGCATCACCTCCTGAGTCACTCAGAGGTGAGCAGATGGCCCAGGGGGCCCAGGGGGACTCAGTCCTGGGACTCTGCTGAAGCACCTGGCAGAGAGGTCTCTTCTTGCCCCTGTTGTTGCCAGGAGAACAGGAAGCAAGCCGAAGACTGGAGAGGAGGGTGGAAGGTGGGCTGAATCCCCAGGGGATGTTGTGCAAGGGAGCCTGGAGCCTGACAGAGGTAGTGCAAATCTTAAAAGGGGAGATTTTTTGAACCAGGGTCCAAATCTTTTCTCAGCAGCCCTGTCTAAGCCATCTGGCTTCCCCCAAGGAAGATCTGCCAAGGACCAGGGCCAGTGCAAAAGAGAAGGTCCTGATGGGCTCGCTGGAGCCTCTAGGCCAGCACTGACTACAGTCTGTTGCTCCCAGATTTTCAGTTCCACAAGTCAGTCAACTCTCCTTCGTGCTTAAGCCAACTCAAGTTGAAGTTCTGACCCTGCAGCCAGAAGTCTCAACCAATATGGCGTATTTTCAAAGCCTAGGGTGGTTCCTTAGCATGGCCCATCCCTATATCCCACCTCCCCAAGACAAGGGTCACCCTTCCCAATCTCCTGTAGCTGGGCTCCCAGACTAGAGACAAGCCTTCCAAGGGCAGTGCTGGGCTACCCAGTGCACAGCCCCCTACCGGCACACCCAGGTCCATCCAGTCACCGAGAATCAAGTCAAAGAGAACGCTGTTCCGCCAGACTGTGGTGTCCCATCTAGTCTGTCTCCCCTAGTTCTGCTCCTTATCTGTTACATGAATTGAATTGGGTCTCCCAGAAATTCAAGTCTGTATTGGAATCTGAATCCTTTGGAAGTCATCTCAATGGGGTTGGGAATTTTTGTTGATGTGAATGCGGCCACATCAGGGAAGGCTGGTCAATGCTGAGAGACTAAAATGAGCACACTAGACACAGCGCTAAGCACCAGTGAGGGAAGGGGCAGACCACCAAGGGACAAAGGGGCAGTCGCATCATCCCCTAGACCCAACAGAGAAGTAACTGTCCCTGGAACTGTGCCTTGAAGACAGACCTCCAGCTTCCTGAACTGTGAGAAAATACATTCTCAGCACTAAAG